CTGAAGGACCTCGCCTTCCTGAAGGAGCAGCTGGACAGCCTGCAGCGCAGGGTGGAGGATGAGGTGCAGGCCGGCGTGGGGCAGGTAACGCGGGTCCCCCGGGCTCGGGGCGCGCCAGGCGCCTGGCCTGGGTGGGCTCGGTAAGAGTGAGTCAGAGAATCTGTACAGGTTGGAAAAAACCTTCAAGATCATCAAGTCCAGCCATTAACCTAACTCTGCCAAGTCCACTGCTAAACTGTGTCCCTCAGCACAACATCTGCATGGCTTTGAAACCCCTCCAGGGATGGGGACTCCACCACTGCCCTGGGCAGCCTGGCAAAGCCCTGGGCAAGTCACTGGAGTGCTGGGTCCAAATTTGGGTGCCACCTTTAGGGGCTGGAGTGGGTCCAGAGAAAGGCAATGAAGCTGGTGAAGGGTTTGAGGAACGTGTGTTATGAGGAGCAGATGAGGGACCTGGGGTTGTTTAGTCTGGAGGAGGCTGAGGGGAGGCCTTGCTCTCTACAACCCTGAAAGGAGGTTGGAGTGAGGTGGGGGTTGGTCTCTTCTCCCAAGAAACAAGTTATAGGACAAAAGGAAATGGGCATAAATTGCACCAGGGATATTAGGAAGAAATTCTTCCCTGCCAGAGTAGTGAGTCATTGGCCCAGGCTACCCCGGGTGGTGATGGAGTCCTCATCCCTGGAGGGTTTCACAAAGCATGTGGATGTGGCACCTGGGGACATGGTTTAGTGGTCATGGTAGTGTTGGGTTGATGGTTGGACTTGATTATCTTAGAGGTCTTTTTCAACTTTAGTGATTCTGTGAACCCTTTCAGGGAAGAAATTGTTCCTCAGATCCAACCTATTCCCCTCCCCCCAGCACAACTTGAGGCTGTTTCCTCTTGTCCTGTCACTTGTTCCTTGGGAGAAGAGCCCCACTCCCACCTGGCTCCAGCCTTCTGTCAGGGAGTTGTGGAGAGCCAGAAGGTCTCCCCTGAACCTCTTTTGCTGCATGCTCAGCGCCCCCAGGTCCCTCAGCTGCTTCTCACAAGACATGTGCTCTAGACCCATCCCCTGCTCTATTGCCCTTCTCTGGTCACACTACAGCTCCTCCTGGGGCATGTCAATGCCCCACCCACCCTGCCTGGTGGCCTCACTCTTTACTCTTCTCTCCAGGATGGCTCTTTGCTGGCCTCGCCCTTCCTCAAAGGCTTCCTGGCAGGCTATGTGATAGCCAAACTTCGCTTCTCAGCCGTCCTGGGATTTGTGGCTGGGACCTGCACGGGGATCTACGCCGCTCAGAACTATGCCATCCCCGACGTGGAGAAAACCCTCCGGGACTATATCAGCTCGCTGAAAAAAGGCCGGAACTAGCGAGGAGCCCCGTGGCAGTGGTGACTGTGGGCACCATCCTCCTTGATCCACAGGCTTGGGAGATTCCTGAGGCTCTTAGCGTGCCCCGTTATTCTTTTCCCCTGGCAAACGGTGTGTATAGTGGAGCGGTGTGGCGGGGGGAGCCCTGCCCCACAGCAGCTCGGTGGCCAACGGTTTTTTAGGTGCCTTTGTCCCCTTCTCCTCTCTCCCCGTGGTCCTGGGGGCCACGCGGTCGCCGGGGCCGCGTTGCTGTGCTTTGCCCTCGCAGCCTGCTTCATGTGGCTCCCCCAGAGCCAAAAGCCAGAACTGCTCTCTTCTGCCGTGTCAGAAATGTGGCGGGTGACGTCCTGGTTGAGTCGGTCCGATTAAATTCGTGGCGTTTGGTTTCTTCTTGAATGTTCTAGGCAGAGAGTCTGTCCAGGCTCTCTGCACTGTGAGCACCTTGCCCTTTGCTGGTGACCACCTGAAAATGGTGCTGTTGCGTGAGGCTGCCAGCTCTGCGCAGCGCTGGGGCCTCTGGGGGCTGATGCTGGCCCTGTCTGTAGCCATCTATGGCTCGCACGCTCCCCTCCTGACCCACTGCAAGGTGGACGGGGTGATCCCCTTCAGCTCCGCTGCCGTTGTGGTCCTCGTGGAGCTGACCGAGCTGGGGTTGTCCCTCCTGTGCCTGCTGACCTGGGACCGGGACCTGCTGGGAGTCACCATCTCATGGCACCATGTCGTTCCCTTCGCCCTCTCCGCCCTGCTCTACGCCGCCAACAACAACCTGGTGGTTCACATGCAGCTCTTCATGGATCCCAGCACCTACCAGGTCTTGAGTAACCTGAAGATAGTCAGCACCGCGCTCCTCTACAGCCTCCTCCTGCGCCGGCGACTCGGGGCGCGCAGGTGGCTGGCACTCCTCTTGCTGGTGGCTGCTGGGGTGAGCTACAGCTGTGGTGGCCTGCAGGACCCCGGTGGCCCCTCCAGGATGGAGCTGCACATCACACCCGTGGGCTTGGTGCTGATCTCGGTGTACTGCCTGATCTCGGGCCTGTCTGCTGTCTACACGGAAGCCATCCTAAAAACCCAGGCGCTGCCTCTCAGCCTCCAGAACTTCTTCCTTTACTTCTTTGGGGTCCTCCTTAACTCTATGGGCTACTTCTGGAGTGGCACAGAGGGCGGTTTCTTGGAGGGCTTTTCCTCCTGGGTGCTGGTGATTGTGATCAGCCAGGCCTTGAACGGCTTGATCATGTCCGTGGTCATGAAACACAGCAGTAACATCACCAGGCTCTTCGTGATCTCCTGCTCCATCCTGGTCAACGCCCTCCTGTCTGTTGCACTCTTCGATTTGCAGCTCACCCTCCTCTTCTTCGTCGCTGTCGTGTGCATCGGCCTTGCCGTCCACTTGTACTACGGCGTCACGTAGCCGCCGCCTCCCTGCCCAGGACTTTGCAGGGACCTGTTACTGGGACCACCAGTCCCACGAGTCCAGGAGAGGAGCACCGAAGGGCAGAGAGCCTGTCCCTGCCGCCCAGGAGAGCCGGGCCCTGCTCCAGCCCCACAGGGCTACTCTGTGGCCAGGTGTGGCCAGCCACCAGCATGGGTCCTGAGCCCCTCCATCTTGTTCTCAAGCTGCTTCCCCCATTGCAGAACCCCAGTGTGGTGGGGTCAGAAAGGACCTCTGGAGATCATCTCATCCAACCCCCTGGTCCAGCACATCACCCACAGCAGGGTGCCTAGGATGGCATCCAGGCAAGTTTGGAGTCTCTCCAGATAAGGGGACTCCACAGCCTCTCTGGGCACCCTGCTCCAGGCTCAGGAACAAAATTTTTCTCCTTCTGTTCAGACAGAACCTCCTAGGTTCCTGTTTGTGCCCATTGCCCCTTGTCCCATCACTGGGAACCACTGACAAGAGCCTAGCCTCAAACTCTTGGCTCCCCTGGGCCCTTTACCTCTTGGTCAATGTTGGTCAGGTCCCCTCTCAGCCTTCTCCAGGGTGACCAGTCCCGGGGCTCTCTGCCTTTTCTCAGCACAGAGATGCTCCAGCCCCTCAGCATCCTTGTAACCCTCTTTTGGACTCTTTCCAGTGGTACCTTGTCTCTCTGGAACTGGGGGGCCCAGAACTGGCCCTGATACTCCAGATGTGGCCTCACTAGGGCAGAGTAGAGGGGCAGGAAAACATCCCTCAACCTGCTGGCCACTGTCTTTTAATGTACCCCAGGAAACCTTTGGCCTTGGCCACAAAGGCATGTGGCTGGTCACGGGCAATGTGTCCACCAGCACTCCCAGGACCTCCATGGAGCTGCTCTCCAGCAGGTCACCCCTTATACGTACTGGTGCAGGGGGTCGTTCCTCCCCAGGTGCAGAACCCTACGCTTGGCCTTGTTGAACTTCATGCGGTTCCCCTCCACTCAACTGCCCAACCTGTCCCATCTTCTCCACACCCTCATCTCCTGTGCATGCAGGTGGTCCTGTGGTGGCCAGCTAGTCTCTGTGTTGGTGGCCAGGCCACCGCTGGGCTGCGGCTGTTTGACCCCTGGGGATGGTGCTTCCACCAGCACTTGGGAGAGCCTCGTGCCGCAGCTGGGAGCATCCCCCACCGCCACTGGTCTCCAGCCCACGATTATTAAAGCTGGGATTCAGCAGCACGTGTGTGTCTCCTCCCTGCAGGAAGGTGTCTGTTGCCCATGGCGAAGTTCTGGTGGCCATGGAGATACCACGGTGTCCCATGGTGAAGGGACACCCACTTTATTCCACATGGCAGCAGCTGAGGGTGCCGCAGACACCCCACCCTGCCGGGGGTGCCCAGCAGCAGTGGATTCACCATGAGAGTGGTGAGACCCTGGAATGGATTGCCCGGGGAGGTGGTTGAGGCCCCATCCCTGCGGGTCTTTAAGGCCGGGATGGATGAGGTTCTAGACAGCCTGATCTAGTGGGAGGTGTCCCTGCTCATGGCAGAGGGGTTGGAACTGGGTGA